AGAGTTATCAAAAATATAAAACCGGCAAAATCAAATTTTATAATTACAATAATATGTTTCATTGTAGATCAGGAGCCGGGGAAATTGTGTCGAAACAATTTTCTATTTATACTATATTAACATATATTTATTTCAACTTATAGGAGTTGTCATAAAAAATATGAAATCCGCGAAATCGAATTTTATAATTTTTGGAAAATGCTGGATGTGTTTAATTGTCGAGCAATGATGGATTAAGCATTTCATTTTAAATTTAGTTACTTAATATCAAGTGGTACACGGTATTGATATTTTGGGTTGCGTAAAAATAATTTTCAGAAATAATTTTCTCTAACTCTGTATATAAGCACAAACAAGCCTTGCTGACCCAAAGTTTTTCTATTTTATTCTGTCATTTGCTGTTTTTGCAAAATACTAACTACGACAAAAGACCCTAAAATTACAAAAAATCTTATTTTTATTTTAAAATGAAAAAACAGAACATTCGTCTGACGATTCGTTTTCCAATTTTGGGATTCGTACTCTAAAATAACCTCTTATAAAATTTGTTTTTGAAAATTCTATAATGAAAACTAGAGAAATCATTAAAAATATAATATTTCCAAGAGCACATATGCCACACTTAGAATTTGAAATTTCGGCAATATATTAACATTGTTCTAGTGATGACATCAAAACGATAAATATATGCATTTTGTACTAATAACTTTTTGATGAATTTTGCGCACTTACCAGGCCGCAGAAAGTCGAATTTCCCACACGCGTGTGTTAACTTCGTTGTTTATAAATAACTCGCAACTAATCTATTCATTTTAAAAATTTATTTGTTAGAAAAAATATTGTACACAACACGTTCGTAAAACCTACTTTCCGCATTTACGCAAATAAGCGTTCAAGCGGGAAGCAGGTTTTCACAAACTAGTGTAAATTACTATTTTCGTCCAATTTATAATAATAGCCTCATTAAGACAATTTTGCCTAATCAATGTTTATTTAAAAATGTGCTGCGAGATGCAAAGTGCTTGGCCTTGATATAATTTTGTCAATTAAAAAGCAACGACTTTCTTAAATTTTAGAAAATCTTAGTAACACAGTACTATTTATACTTCTCAAGCGTAAACTAAGGAAACATTATATTATGTTCCATCGGGCGACTGGCTACTTTAATTTTTTCTCGACGTGTCGTGACCCTAGAGTATGAAAAAATAGATCTCTCATTTCCGTCTGTATGTCTGTCTGTTTTTGGAGATAAGAATTTTCTAAACTGGTAGTAAACATGTCACTAAACTGTATTTTGATCGATATGTGTTTTAAAAGTGCCCCTACAGGTGTGCGTTAAGAATGTTTCTTATTTCAAACATTTGATGAGTTTTAATTACCCCCTTCAGAAATTTGACGATGTCCTTTCAAAATATTATTCGCCAAACTTTTATTAAAAGTATGGCCTAAGATGGTCGATGTTTGTCTATTTTAGAATTGCTTACCAAAGTTATTTCAGAAAATAGATGTATAGACTTAATAACTTTATTGATTTTTGAGAACGCAATGGTATCAGTCTTATGTAGGTGCAGTATATACTTATTACGCACTATACATATAAGTCAATATTTTTATTTTCATCAAAATGGTTGCGTCTTAATATGTTAGTCACACTTTGTTCCGCAGAGACGAGGATTATTTTGTTTGTATAATTTTACAAGTTTCTTAAAATGTAAATAATTTTTTTAAAGAAATAATAAATAATAAATAAGTGTAGTGTAGGTCACTTTCCAAGTGATGCGCGGATAAATGGTCGGTAGTTACGCTAGACTTTTGGGGATGGGGTGAGATTTAGAGAATAATAGCAGACTAATTTGTATGCTGTAATTCTAGAATCTCGAAAGTTGTTCTGTTAATCTAATCAATGCATATCATTACTTGGTCTTAGTACCCGTAATGATGGAAGTCTTGCCTGAATGCCGGTCATTTCCGGGTCAGTAGTGGATCTTAATAATAATAGATCATAAATTTGTAGAAAAGAATGTATAAAATATAAAACCAGTTATATTCATGTTCACTTATGTGGTAAGAAGAGAACTATGTCACTATGCAAAAAAATATGGTTGCTAGATATGTACATATACTGTAGGTATTTCTTCTCCTAAAAAATAGTTTTGAACAAAAAAATTTACAAATTTTATATGTGTAGTGTAGTATCAAATTGTGTACAGTTTATTGAACAGATACTGTTACAATCGTATTTCAAACAAATGTGTGTTTGTGTCGCCAAAAAAATAAAACGAGGCTAAAACAAAAATATTTTGTTTTATCTGTATTTGAATATACAAAATCTTCGCGTCAACGTTTTAAATTCATAATTTTTTATAGTAACGCGATTATATGAAATTTAATTATTAAATATCTTTCGAAAGAAATGCAGCTAAATCTTTGTACTTTAAACTGGATAATTAATAGGTAGCATTTTCACCTTATGAAGGGAATAAAAGATGATATCAAACTAACAAATTTGTTTTTTACGTTTTCTCTTTGTATCTGTCCGATAAAGTTCAAAGGCTTTATACATAATTGATATGCAACCGATAATTTATAATGGATGGACTACGATAGAACAAACGTATTTATCTAAGGGAGCTTACTCCTATTCACATCAGTATCAGGTCGGCACAGAACCAGCTAAGATGCCAGACATTATCACAAGAAGTTTCCACGTAAACATAACCATTTTAAAATTTTTTGGGTTATACGACCACAGCAACCTAAGGCCCGGTTTTACAATGCAAGCTTAAGCGAGGTTCAAAGATAAGCCTTGGTTCAACTGCAGTTGTCCGTTTTACAATACATAGTTCAATGTTAAACCGCGCTCAAACGAAGGCTCAGCTGAGCGCTGATGTCAGGGTGGTTTAAGCTTCGCTCAACTGTCCATAACCTCAAACGTCTGTGCTTTATCGTTTTGGTGGTGTGACAGCATTATAATTGAAGATGGAAAATTTATTAGGAGTATTAACTGACGATGAAGACGTTTTAGAAGTGATAAACATATTAGAACCGGCACGTATGCGACAACCAAAAGTTTTTCAGTTGAGAGAAAATCACTTTGAAAAGTGAAATGCTGGTGAATTTTTGAAACGATTTCGTTTTTCCAAGACTGGCGTACGGTTTATTTTGCAACAAATACAGGAGCAAATTATATCGCGAACGGAAAGAAATCATGCAGTATCACCGGGGCAAATGCTACTTGTGACTTCATGTTTCCTTGCCACTGGATCTTTTCTGCAAGTTGCTGGTGACTTTATAGGGATTAGTAAAGCAACAGCTTCTCAAATAATTAATGTTTTGGGGTGTGGAAAAGACGCTTTCCAGCATTGGCTTTTGGAATTCGTTTAAAAATGTGTAAAGTAGAGGCAGTGGTTGTGGCAACAGCAGTTTTACACAACATTGCAATTATTTTAAATGAAGAAGAACCGCCAGTGGACGCAGAAGAAGAAGCAGCAGTGAATTTTGTGAACGATGTTCTAATTGAAAACATTGGAGAATATAGTGGCAATTATAATCAGAACAATTTTGTACGGAACCAGTTCATCAGAGAATATTTTACTAATTTGCTTTTTTTGATTTCGTTTTTAGTTGCAGTAAATAATAAAATGTAATGTAATTATTTATTTAAGTTTTATTATTTAAAATATTAAATTTTTGGGCAATTAATATTTCAATCTTCATTTGGTGTTCTGCTTTATTACTTCTAATTCAAGTGCAGCTTTGTCTCTCATAATTTGCGTTTCTAGTTCATGTTTCTCTTTCATGGCTTTTAATTTAAACTCTTGCTCCTTTTGGATGTATTCCTTTCGACTTAGTTCAACAAGTTCTTTGGCAGCGGCCCATTGCTCTAAATTATCACTTGTCTGGTTTCCTTTACCTATACAAACAATACATTAATAAAGTTTTAAGACAAGTGTCAAACATTTTTTAATATAAATATATATACATATAATACCTCTACGATATGGCGTGAGTGCTGAAAATTTTTTTTGCTTCAAGATTTTGGGGGAGTATTTAGCCCAATTTCCAGTTTGACCATTTTCTACAAAAATAACCATAGGTACAAGTCAAAACGAATTATTTGATTATTATTAATGTTTACCACTTTCTTTATTGGGACAACTTATTTTATCCATAACAGGCACTTCTCTCGAAATTGCTCCGGTTTGATCTTTTGGCATAAAACAATCTGAAATAAAGAAAAAATAGTAAAAAATTTCTGAATAAAGTGTATGTAAGGATAAAAAGTATTTACCATCATTTTCGTCATCAGACAGATTATACCGCTGTTACTTTGGAATGCTGAAAAGCATCAACATTTTAATTTTACAATACATATTATTCATAAAAATACTTATTACAGGTTGTTTCGGAATCGCCATCAAATTCGCTGCTATGCCCCATTAGTCTGGCCCCGAAAATTTCTTTTACAGCCACATCAACATCGGTGGCCTCAATACTTTGTTGTGACCCTCTCCCAGTACCACCGACATAGGCTTTCTCGTCAGCAAATTTTTTCGTTGTCCTCTTCTTAATGTTATCGTACTTTTTGTTCAAAACTTTGTGATCCCGGAAGGTCTGGCCAGATAAAGAATTGAACTCTACTTCAATTTTCTTCCAACACTGATTTTTTTTTATTTGCATCAGTGTTGGACAATTTACACTCCAGAATATTTTTATACTTACTCACTAAAGATAGGAGCAAGTTTTCTTCGGATTTTGTAAAATTCGGAGCACGTGTATTACTCATCTGAAACGAAATATTAAAAACCACCATAATCATCTACTTATTAAGGAGCAAATGTTACATATACAAATATACGTACCCCACTAACGCAGAAAACTAATTACTTTGCAGAATTTGTCAGTTTGTCACAAATAATTTATAATAATGTGAACAACTTTGAATCAGCCCACACAAATGACAACCATAGATGACAACAACAACACACTTCCAACGTGGTCTCAACTGTCAGATTCTCGGGTGCGCGCTACCAACCTAAGGAAATTTGTGGTTCAGCTGAACCGGACGATAGCGGTGTTTGTAAAACGGACGCATGAATTGAACCTCAGTTCAGTTGAACTCAAGTTCAGTTGAACTCGTGTTGAACCGGACATTTGTAAAACCGGGCCTAAGTGTGTTAGTAAAAATTTGGACTTATTTTTGTTACTTATTGTCAATACTGATAACGACGTTGGCTGCTGTTAAACTATGTATCGGAGAAAATGACGATTTCGGGCAGTGGAGTCGGTCTTTAATGCTGCTGGTCAATACTGGATCGTGCTATGTGAAGTTCATACCATTCCTGGTGAATTCATCACAAATCAAGAAATGTATCTATTTCTTTGGAAGCAAGAAATTCGCACCGAATAACGAACAAGCAGAAAGAATTGTGGAAGATTGCGTTTACGTTTGTAGACGAAATTCTAAGATTTATTTCAGTATATTTACACTGACTGTACTTTCATGGAATGTAACACCTATTTTTGAAAAGGAGCAAAAGCTTGCCATTGACATTTGGTTGCCGTGTGATTTAACTACAAGACCAGTATTATTCTATACATTATATATTTTCTGTGCTGCAGGTATTTACTTAGAAAATTAATCCACTAATTGCTTTCTTATTTTTGGACGACTTTCAGTGATTTTTTATCTCGGGCTTACCACAACCCCGATCGAACTAATTTTGGCAGGGTTACCATATCATGCGACTGGCCAGCTTAAAATTTTGGAGCATAATTTATGTAATCTTGGAATAGTGAAAAATGGAAGCGATTTCAGAATCACATTTGAAAACGCAGAGAAAGTTTTACGGGAATGTATTTCTCTGCACAATAATATATTGAAGTAAGTACCGGGTCTACCTAAAAGTAGTTTTTCCTTTAAGTTATAAATTTTAGTTTCGTTGGGGAATTTGAAGATTGTTTCTCTTGGATTTTATTTTTCCAAATCGCCGCGACCACATTTGGTCTATGTTTCTGTTGCATTGGATTTACATCGGTTAGTAAAATTTTTTAAAATTCAGGTTTCAGATTTACTGCCTTGAGCAAATTTGTAGGGTTCGGCTACATTCGCTACAGAATGTCTTATATTTATACCGTGTTACATATATTTAACTTGTCAGTTGTTATTCTACTGCCATTATGCTACAGTTCTAACACAAGAGGTATGTTCTAATTCTGTTGTATTTATTTGCCAATTAATATCTACGATTCTATATTTTGTACAAAAAATAAATAAATAAAAGGAGAATTTTAATTACGATATATAATTCTTCAAACTAACTAAATTTTGAGAGGTAATTTTAAGACTTCAAGATACTTTTTATAAAAAGTAACGGGTTTTTTTTAGTAAAGAAGGAACATTAAAAAAGCATTTAAAAATCTATCTAGTGAGATAAATGTTTTCTAGATAACTGCCAAATAATTTCTAAATTATAATGCCCTCCACCTGATATTTATTTTATAGTCCAAATTTTTTACATAAAACTAGCTCAGTAATTTCTAGAAATAAATTTTATTTTTATATAATAACTCCTATATTATTATAATAGAAAACATGACAAACGTTTGCAATGACGTCAAAATTTTTATGAAAATGGATTGATCAATTTTGGTTAGCGATACATCAGTTTAACAGTTTATATGGTACTTAAACCGTAAAATTTTGTTTTTCTTCAAACGTCAGAAATACGGGTCATTGCATACCTCAATTGATAAATACAAACCCACTTCACTGCATTGACAGAAAAAAAAATCTGCTTAGGCTGCAAAAATTTTTTGCTGCCGCTAAATCAACCAATGAAATTTAAGCCTAGCCGTCTTACGTGTTGATGTTGATGTTGTCACTGTTACTAGTGTTTTGTGCTGCCAGTGTCAATCACAAACAACTGTCATATGTCATTTGTCACAATTCAGTCGGTCAGAGTCGAAGATTCGAATTATAACTGTCACCTAAATTAACCAATCATATGAAAATGAAAATAATAAATAAGAAAAAGTATAATTTGTTGAAATCATTGAAAGTTTTGCTATGATTAACATTTTATAATTAATTACAGTCATGTTTTTTTTGCTCAAGACATCATTAGAAAATATCGTGAAAAAAAGTGAGTTAGAAGAAGTAACAACATTTAAAATACTGTAAAATGATAATATCTGTAAGAGTACGTGATAGAATCAAAGGTATTTTGATTGCTAGAACTTGTCCTCTACAGATTTTAAAGGTGGCATATTTAGGTGAAGGTTGTTTTAAATAGCTGGAATTGGAATATTAAACAAAAAGCCTTTCGGTGAGTAAATTTGCTACTGACCTATTTTCACATCAAAGTGAAAAACTGTATCGATATTGAAAGAAAAAAATCACAAAGTTATAGAGTACAGTGACTCCAATTTTTCTGCTTAGGCTGTTTTCGCATTTTTTCTGCCGGTCATCAGCGGCAGAAAAAGTGGGGGTAGGTACCTACCTCTTTGGTGATTATGATTTATGATCAAGTGTCTGAATTTTTTAGACCTTATAGGCCAATTCCAAGTTGGCCGGCGCAACTCAACTTTGCACCACCGATTTGCGCCAACAGTTATTGTAAATTTTCAAGTTCAAAATTTCCATTAATGCAACGAGGGTGCAACAACGACATCTTAGCTCTCTCGGTAATTTTTCGTCGTTTATCCTCACCTTTACTAGAATTTTTGAATAAATTAACAGCAACACCCGCTAAAACTTGACAGACGACCGCAATTTTTCGAGATAAATTGCGCCAACTTGCACTGCCTACTAGAGGTGCCGCAACTCCATGGTGCAAATTGCAATGGAAAATTCGACACAAGTGCGTTTGTTTATTCCGTCACCCCTAACAACCAGCATTTGATACCCAAATCAGCATTACAAAGTTGCGCTGCACCAGTGACTTGCGCCGGCGCAACTGGCAAACTCGCGTGCTCAGCCGTCAAACCTACAGATTCGTCTCATTTTTGCTCCTTATAAAACAATATACTATTTTTTTGCTGAATGCTAAACATCCATTGAATATATGGGTAGGGATTAAACACTTTCTACAGATCAGTAATAGTTTTGTGTATTTTAGTCAACATTTGTTTCCCAAATTCTTGAAATGCGGTCATCATATTTTTGGAGGTAATAAACAGATAAATCTAGATTAGTGATTTACAATACTTACGTTAGCCTGATAGCAAAATTTGAAAGATTTCAGAAGAATTACTTTTATAATTTGAGATATCCTTTAAAATTTTCTTGTCAAAGTTGTAAAAAAATGTAAATGCTTGGGTTAAAAAATAACCACTGATCAATGAATCACATTTATATCGAGTCATTAAAATTGATTGAGAGTTGGTACTTCCTGTTTTCGTCGTCAAGTTTGTCAACCTTACGACAGATTTTGTGTGAGGTTATGTCACAACTAATCCAGTGGCGCGACAAGTAAATTGCTCCAATAATTTACCACGTTGAAACTTAGAACAGTGTGCTGCTGTACGGACAGGAATTTAAATGGATTTTTTGATTTTTATTTATCGTCCTGATGAACAAGTTACCTAAAATTTTAATACATGTAATTTAAATATTGTCTTTGTTGCTCTATTTTATGAATATTATGAATAACTCAATAGGGTTCATGAAATCTGTCACGTACTTTTTAAGGTAAATGGTTAAATTTCTTGTAATAATTTTTTTTTCTGTATTTCTATTTTTGTTTTAAATTTTCTTTGTTTAACCATCCAAGGCGTCGATCTTTCTTGAAAATATGTCTCAACTATACGACGTTAAATAAACCAAATTTTAAAATTACTTAGTTCTTAAAATATAAGGTACGTATAAAATTCCGTGTAAGTCTTAAAAAATTCTAATTATAAACCCTGAATAAACAATTTTAGCAGTTTTTGGATGGATAAAAATTAGTATTACAATCTTTTTCGAAAACTTATGCAAAAACGAACTTCAAAATTTTAGTTAAACCCGTTTTTCAGTTTCTTTAAGGAAACCATGGAAAAAGAATAAGAAGAGGGAAGATAGTTTGAAAAAGCGCCTGATACCGCTCTTTCGACTGGGATCAGATATAGCCACTAGATTACACATAGTACCGTCATCGAGTCACTAACTGGTCCCAGTAGTGCTGCCAACTTAAAATCCAGACCAAAAAGGGTGCCCCTTTTAAATTAAAAATTTGTAAAATTAAAATTTGATACACAAAACAGCAACAAGGACCCGGGTGGGTTAGTTAGCATCGTGCTTGACCGCTACAGCCTGGATCGTGGGTTCGATTCCCGCTCTGCCTCTGGGTGTTGTGTTGTTTACATCAGTGTAGATAACACAAAACACGCTCGCATCGTGAAATATAATTCTGACATTTAGTTACTTAAGTGCAACCAACACAAATTGGGACCAGCCAGGAGACCCAGGGGACGGTACTATGTGTATTCGAGTGGCTATAGGATCACAAATAGCTCGCGGTTCCAGCTCCTTCTAGAAACTCCTTGTTCCATTAGAGTGCTCAAAAGGGCTTGTCAAGAGGCTGGACATACAAAAATTAACATGTAGCAAGTTAATTCCTTTGATTAAGTACAATATTGTATATTTAATCGATTTTAATAGTAAGAGTCATGAATGGGTAAAGGTCAAATTCTTTTACTATTTGCTACCTGTGAACCCTTTCGTAACCAAAGTACACCACCTCTGATCAGCTGTTGACAACCGACCGTTTCCCATGTAGTACGGAAAGGGTTATCAGTGACTTGCGTGGAGCTCCTTTGCCGGCGTTTCGGTGGTTAAATGAGGGACGCTCCTTCTTGTCATATTACCTCCGTGAAGGAAACATATTTGGCATATTTATTATAACATTATTTTATAACTCATAAATTTAGGTTGGAGTATACAAAAAAATTTTAATTGTCGTTTTACCATCGGGTAAATGGTAAATTGTAAAGTAACATCAAGGCAGATATTAGTTAGATAATATAGTTTTTATTTAATCAATGAAATATATTTATTGATTAGTAGGGTTTGCATCTCTGGTCATATTTTTTAAGAAATAATTATTTAAATAGTTAAATAATCACGTGTATCAAAGCACGTTATTATGTACTTACATTTCAAATGAGAATTATTTAGCGAACTTTTGATTTGACGTCATCAAATTTATCGGGGGAATAAATAATTAGATTTTAATCAATGTTATACGATGGCACGATGGCTCAATTAATGTGAAATATGACCGTGGTGTTTCTTCTAATAAAAATTTGTTAAATGCTAACTTAACTTTTTCAGTCACTGAATTTTTGCTGCAAAAGTAAATTATTCAGCTATATATCTATTATCAAACTATACAGTTCTTCTTTTTTAGGGTTGAGAAAATATACAAAAATTTCGATTTGTCTTTTTTTTAATTCGCCGTGTACATATTTAAAAGACTTTCGGAAATTGGCTGTAAGCAGCTCTTGTCTTGCTCAAAAATTAAAAGTTTTTTTCATACTTGGTTTGTTTAGTGTAATACTCAGCAACCCACTACGACGATTGGCAAAAAAGATCTTTTCTAGTGGTGTGAAAATGAAATAATAATAATAAATAATAATCATGTATATTTGCCATACACAAGAATACATGTGTATTATTGCTTAGGCGCGTCAAATAAATTATATTAAATATATTGTGTAGATAACATATTTACATAATAAACAAACAACATATTTAAACAAATATGAAACAATTACATATGTACATACTACATACTAAACAGATTGGCGGTGACATATATTCATCGCAGTTGTAAAAACAATTTGACTCCAGAAATGTTGGCATTAATGCGATTCAACCGCCTTAATTTCAGTGATAATATATATATTAAAGAGTTTGATACTCATGTCAGTGATTGGCAGTTGTGTCTTACTTAAACGATGTAACGGAATGACAACTTTTTGTTGGCTACGTGTGTTGTAATTATAGACGTCCTCATTTTTTACAAACGTTGCTTCATTTTCGTGTCCATGTAA